TCTCACTCCCGTATATGGCCACTGGTTGTGGTCTGGATGGATATGGACTGTTCTATATATTTTAATTTTTGATCTTCGGAAAAGATATGCATGTTCTCTCTTAAAGAAATGTACACGATACAACCGTATTAGTCATTACAAATTAAAAAGTTCACTATCACAAGTAAGTCAGGCTCTGAAGAATACACCCAATACCCGAAGAAGATAAAGTATATCTTATTGAATGCCCTGCCAATCAATAATAATGATAAATAATATTAATAGTAACATTTATTTTCAATATAGTGAGAAATACGCAATTAAAATTAAACTAAATCGCTAATTTATTTAGAATTAGTCAAGTTTTTTCAATAAACCATCGGTCCTGGCTTATTTTTTTTTTAATTAAATCTAATTCACGAGTCAAGACACATAAGAATTTCTAACCTCATACTAAATAGGACACTTACGGCACTAAAGATCATAGCGAAGAAGATTTTGTGAGTATAGTAAAACGCCCCAAAAATATCAGAGAACCTGATATTGCCAATAAAAAAGCTATATTTTAAACACCAAAAATTTGGTGTTGTAAATGGCTGCAGAATTTCAGCTAGCGGCTTTGAGTAACTACCAGCTAGGCAAGGATTTGAATTTGTCAATATAAAAAATCCCCAAACACAAATTTTTGTGGTGGAAGTAAAACTGGTCCGCGACCAATTAAAAATAAACGAAAATTTTATTTACACTTTCACACCTTGCGCCTCGGAAACTTAACTTTCGCAAACACAAATTTACTAAAAACGCAATATTCTTGCATAAGCAATATGTCTGGGAATTTTGTCACATTAATTAAAGACCGACCATCCTAAATATAACCAATATAACCATGTCGAATATTTTTTATTATGCCTGTAATTGGAATTTAAATTAACTCATTTCAAGTCGGTTTTAATTGAAGCGCCTGAAATTATTCTCTAATTACTCGTGTTGAAGTTGGGAAAGTACAACCGATAAATCATAATTTCACAGCCACAATTCACGTGTCATTACAAACCGGGTAATGGCAGTGATTAATGTCTTTTAATGGATATTTGTCGTTGATTAATAAATTATCGTTTATGGGAAATAGATAATGATGACATCAAATTACTGCAGATTCGATGCATAACAAATGAGATACGGTAATAACTTAATGGTGCAGTTTAAAAAGCTATATGGATAGTCGGCATTCGCCCACAAATATTTTGACAAAATGTTATTTTCATATTTTTATAGCTATTATGCAAACATATTTTTTATGCGAATGAATCTAAAAGTATAATTTTTCGATCGAACGCGATGATCATAAAGAAGCACTTTTCTTTACTGTTCATTTTTTTTTTACTTTTACGCACGGACTTTTACGCACATGTGCTCAAAAGTGAATGGAACAAATTGAACCTGTCACTGTCACTATATTTTTTAAAGTATGTTCATAAAAAAGTATCCGATATGCTTTTTTATTGAATTACGTAGCTTCATTAACAATTGTTGATTATAATTTAAAGTTTACTTACAATTTGTAAATTATGACTTAGTTACAAGCTCAGTTTCAAAGTTATTCTAATGGTCTATTTTTCTGCGCTCGCTGATGTTGCCACAAACAAAACACGTTTTTTTAAATAGCTCAAATTTCATGCAAAATATGCAACTTATACAAACACCATACCGTGAAAGGAGCACTTAATTTTCAACACTTATTTTTTCACTGGTTTATGCTTACAAAAGTACGCTTTTGAAAAAATACTAACGTCAAAACGTGACAAGTTCAAAAGTGGCATTGACATCAAATTTTAGACATGAAGTTGACGTCTTTTATTTTTGGCAATTCTTATTCATTATAATTCATGATTCGTTTATGTCTTTCATTCGAATAAAAAATGTTGTTCGAAACGAGGGCGAAAATCCGTTTTTCGAACTCCTGACGAATTGACACCGTCGACTGCTTCTCGGCTGTCAAACGCCGTCCTCTTTCAAAAAACGACACTTTTCGCCCTTGTCTAGAAAACTAGATACTGTTGTGATCTCGGAATGTATGCAGCATCTTTGTAGTTAAAACCGCCTTTTTTAATAACCGTCTTAAAGTATCTCTTCAAAACTGCAAATTTGCATGTTAAAAATATACTCGTCATTACGAAAAATTAAATATATTTGCGAGACTTTTGATTTCTGGGGCTCCGTGTGTAGTACAGTTCCATTCTTCTCTTCTTCTTCCTATCGTAATAAGTCCATGGCTGGATTCCTTTAATTGTGCCTCATTCGTCCTGTGATCCTGACGTCCATGCATCTTCCATCCTTATTCCATACTCATCTTCTTTGCCTTATCCATCTCACTATATCTCGTGTATTGCTTCTTAGTCGTATTTCAGTGCTTGGTATTTGGTCTCTCATCGCGTTATGTTCCTCAGCACTCTCCTCTCTCTCTTGTTCCAAGTATGGCCCTTGTACTTGTGATTTCAATTCAGGCTTCTGACGCGTATTTTATCATATTGGGCAAACGCAGGTTATGTATATTCGCACCTTGGCCGTCTTGTTCATTCATATTTGTTGTTCCAGATTACGTCTCATACCTTCTGATACTCTTGACGCGTTGGTTGCTTGGTGTCTCACCTCCCTTACGCGATCTGAATTTGCGGTTACTTGTACTTCTAGATTTTTAAATGTCATAGATTGCTCGTTTTTTGACTGTTTACTGCTAATCTACAAGGGATTGGTTATTTGATTATGACTAGTGGTTTGGTCTTCTGGATCTAGTTTTCTATATTATATTGAGTGGAGTCAGGTAGAACACATGTAGCCTTTCCTGTGGGTCGGTCTTGCTTCCTTCTATTATAGCGTCGTCATCAGCGTCGCATAATATCTTTACCTCCCATTTGTTCATCCTAAAATCTCGGCCGAATGTCTTTACGTAGTTTGTTGTCAGACCCATAATCATGTTAAACAGCAGGAGCCTTAGTGAGTCTCCCCCTGTCTAATTCCGTTTGATATTGGAAGGTCTTCGGCTCGGTTGTTATGGACTAATATTTGTGTCGTTACGTTAGTACTTAGGTCTACGATTATGTCCACTAATTCTCTGGGTATGTGATTATCTTCAAGTTTTTTTTCCCGTCATTGTTTGAGTTGCGCGGACGCTTATGCTAGGTCAATGAAACACATGAAAACTGGTTTATTATGCTATATTGATTTTTCCATCGGCTGTTTTATCACGAAAGTAGAAAAGCTTTGTTATTCTTCCCTTATTTCCATATATCTTATCGGAGTGGATACAATGATCCGGGTAAATACTTTCATGATACTGCTCGATAGTGTTATTCCTCTAAATTTTTGAAGATTGGGATAGTTATGCTTGTTTCGCATTTTCCTGGGACAGGTGTCCTATCGAGGATTTTCTGGTAGAGGATTGCTAATTATGCGCTTAGTTCACGGCCGCCATATTTGAGCAGTCCATTCTGTATCTCATCCAGTTCTGGTGCTTTTCTGCTTTTAATCGTTTTGATGTTTTCTATGGGGGTGGGTTAATTTCAGTACCTCCTCTTTCTGGAGGTGATTGTGATTTACCTCACCTCACTTATTTAGTTCATAAAATTCCACCCAGGTGTCTGCTAATCGCTTGTAACTGAGCGCAGCGCATTCTTTGATTTCCTCTTTTTTGTTTTCTTCGACTCAGTAGGTCCCATTTCTTTTTTGGTATCCCTATAGGTCTTTTTCAATTTCTGTGGTGAAGTTAGCCCAGTACCGAGTTTTTAGTTCTCTAATTCTGGCGCACTACTCTGCTTCAGACTGTTTTATAATGAGCACATTCTTGCACCGGTTTATTGTTTAAGTACTGCATGCAGGGCCGGATTAACCTGTGGTTCTCTGTGGTTGGACCCGGTACTACGATCCCTGCAGAGGCCCTTATCTAATAAAAGTGTAATGGTGGTGCAATTGAACTTCCCATTTTTACCGAGGCCCCGACATCGTGAGGCCCGCCCCCTTGCGTTTTATTTCTTTCCAGGATGTGTCAATGCTATCCTGTGTTCTTATGCTGATCCAATGATATTCAAACTTTCAAAAATTGATTTAGAAACCAAACGCTGTTGGTTATCTCCCCCAGTTGTCGAAATCGTTAACAAAAGCTAGAGTTGAGCAACAAATCACTACCTGTGATTTTTTTCGCAGCGATTAATAAATCGCAATCGCAATCTGTGACTAACGTAAAAATAAACTGTGATCTAAAACGTGATTGACCCAAACATGATATTCAAGAGCGACTTTTTTTTGGACGATTTTTTGGGGCATTTTTTTTCTGCATTGGATGATACTTTTGCAAAATGCAGTTTATGCAAACCAAAATTATGTCACAAAACAAGTACGTCGAATTTGAAACGAAACATGGAATTCAACATTCGACAATTCGACATCGAAATCATTTTTTGTAACTATTTTCACTCAAATAAAGTTTTTTTTTCAGATCAAAAATTAAAATCAAATATTGCTTGTTCACAAAGAGTTAAATGATACATACGCTATTCGACCTGTGTAAAACAATCGTTTTTTGTTCTAATTTAATTTTTTTTTAATGTTTTTAGAACTTTTAGAGTACTTAGGTTTAGAAAATGTGTAGCGAGTTGCTAGTTGTAGAGGCTGTTATTTTTTAGTGTCCCTAAAATCATTTGTACTTTAGGTATGAAATATTATTTGTTGTGTACCTAAATAAGGTTATTTAATTTAAAAATATGAATTAAACATATTTTAAAATTGTTTCTGCAAGTGACGCACAATTGCCTATCACCTTATGACACTGCTATATCACGAAAATGGCAATCACAAGTGAAATCACATTCACAGGTTAAATTCACAGTTAAAAAATCACATTCACAGTTATAACAGTGATTTTAAAATCACGCTTTAGCTCATCTCTAACAAATGCATTTTCACTCGGTTACAACAATTATAACGTTAATTTATCTCTAAACAAATAACATGAGAATACTTTCTAGGTGTTCGTATGTTGGATGGAGTAGTCAACGATGCAGTAGAAGCTAAAGCTTTAGGGTTGAATCCGGAGCACATCGACATTTATAGTGCGTCTTGGGGGCCCGAAGATGATGGAAAGACAGTTGATGGACCGGGACCACTTGCCAGACGAGCATTTATTTACGGTAACAATGTCACTAATAAAAAGTTTGAACAAATTATTACTGTGTGTATGTTTAATAGGAGTGACCAGCGGGCGGAAAGGAAAAGGTTCCATTTTTGTATGGGCATCTGGCAATGGAGGAAGGCACATTGATTCGTGCAACTGCGACGGATATACAAATAGCATATTCACTTTGAGTATATCAAGTGCGACTCAAGGAGGGTGAGTATTTTTAAGAAATCTTACCTCTTCCGCTCTCTCATTATAAGGGTTATGAAACCGAACAAGAGGGCAAATTTATCATGTCCTTTCTTATGCCCTTGAATATAAGTGAGTATAAGTATAGTATATATATAGTATAAGTTAGTAAGTTTCAATATGAAAATATTCTTAGTTATAGTTACCGTCAAATATACTTGAAACTGTAATAGTAAAGTATCAAGGGTGCTTCTCAAAATGTGACAATTTTGTCCGAAACGCCATAATGCGTTGGGAAATATGCTTGCTTGCGAATTATTGTAAACATGTTACATGTTAACATATGTTGCTTCATATTCGCACAATTTATGAGCATTTGCAGTCTTTCCTTTTCTTCCGTTTAGGAAATATGCTTAATTTCAATAGTCAACCTCAGATCGTCTTATTTTGAGCCAAAGAATGTTCAAGTACTTTTTTGATCATGCGCTTACGGGACACCTTGTATATTACAATTTGAAAGCCTGCAATGGCTACATCTCTATACAGGGTGTCCCACCGGAAAAATCCGCTATCGATATCTGGCAAACTGTAATTAGAAGAAATTTGAAAATTGGGCAGTGTGCCGATGTCAGTGGGGGCACGCAGCCTAAAATATTTTCAAGATGGCAACACTTCCGGTTATACCAGAAGTGCGAATCAACTTGCATTTTTTAAATGGAACGTCCTATAGATTATTACATTTTTTAATTCTACTCCAAATTCTAAATATATTGCATATACAATATCCTGTAGCCAAGTCTAACCGTTTTTGATATATTTGAAATTCTATGTAAAAAATGACAGTTGCAGTAACTCGAATAATTGCTCATTTTTCCTACTTAATTGTCATTTCTGTGGACGTGTCACAAACGTTTAAATAATCATGGTTTGTATAATTAAAGCGCCCTGGCATGATTATTAATTATTTTTTAAACGTAACTGACAGCTGTCAGCATTTCTTTGGCATTTGATTGCATTGAAAATTGCCACTTTCGTATAATAGCCATATAAAAACCTTAAATTGGGAATATTTCGAAAATTAAACACTTTTGGAATAGACATTGTTACACAATCTTACACTTATTTTTAATACTGAATATGACAAAATTATCAAAAATGGAGGTTTCCATTTGAAGAAATTGATTTTTTGCGGTTTTCTCAACTATATTTTGAAACTTATTTTTTGTTAAACTTAAACACTTTGTATTAATAGTTTTCAAATTTTTTTCGAAATTCCATTAAAGTAAATTATTTTCAACAATAAAAGCGGCACAAATTAAGCATTGTAAATTCCTTTATAGGAAAAATTAATAATTATTCGAGTGGCAGCAACTGTCATTTTTTACATAGAATTCCAAATATATCAAAAACGGTTAGACTTGGCTACAGGACATTGTATATGAAATATATTTAGAATTTGTAGTAGAATTCAAAAATGTAATAATATATAGGGTGTTCTATTTAAAATAAGCAAGTTGATACCTACTTCCGGCGTTGCTTTCCGTTTTCTACTTTTGTGGTCTTCACCCAAGTTTTGGAAAATTATCTTAATTTTTATCTCTCTAACTATTCCACTGATGCTGGATGTTGCTTCTAACATGATTTAAGGCCCACCAACAATCTATAATAAAACAAACTATGTTCTACGTATCTTCACCATTTAGTTTTTATATGTTATCTTTTATATTCTATATTCAATTATCTTGGACAAACTCCATTGCATAACAAACTATAATAAAAATCTAAACTCATTTTTTTTAATTTACTTTAACTAATATTGATATCTGAACATATTTTTTGTTACAACACTTTCAAAAATTATTAATACTTTTAACGCTTCATCAGATTCAAGCCTTGGTACCTTGAAGAATGTTCCTCAACTCTGGCCACCACATACAGTTCAGGCACGCCAGGTCACGACAAAAGCGTTGCTACAGTCGATATGGATGCCAGGTTACGTCCTGACCACATTTGCACCGTAGAACATACTGGAACATCAGCTTCAGCACCTTTAGCAGCAGGTACAGCGACTCGGTCGAATAATATCCAACGGTGTATAAAATGTTTACATTTTCCTAGGTATATGCGCTTTAGCTCTTGAGGCTAACCCTACTCTTACTTGGCGAGATATGCAGTACTTGGTGGTTCTCACTTCGAGATCTACACCGTTGGAAAAAGAGAACGGCTGGATAACGAATGGAGTGAAGAGGAAAATATCTCACAAGTTTGGATATGGGTTAATGGACGCTGCAGCTATGGTAAATCTAGCAGAACTATGGACAACTGTACCTCCTCAACATATATGTAAGAGCCAAGAGCTTCTGGAGGACAAAGAAATTCCTTTCGATTATCGTAAGTTGATCTAAATATTAAATTTACACAAACAGTTTCTCAAATTGTTTTTCAATTTACAGGCGCTAGTCTAGACTTTTATATGGATGTCAATGCTTGCGCTAATACCCTTAATGAAGTGCGTTTTCTGGAACACGTGCAGTGCAAAATATCTTTAAGATTCTTCCCGAGAGGAAACCTTCGGATTATTCTTACATCCCCAATGGGTACCAGTTCTACAATACTGTTCGAAAGACCACGAGATGTGATAAGCTCGAACTTTGACGATTGGCCATTCCTTTCTGTGCACTTCTGGGGCGAAAAAGCCGAAGGAAGATGGCACTTACAAATCATCAATGCTGGAGTGAGACACGTTTCGCAAATTGGGGTCCTGAAAAAATGGCAACTGATATTCTATGGTATGTCCTATTTTTTAAGATTATAAACCCTCAAGGTTGGTATATTATAAATACTGTACATTAAGCGAATACTTCTGGAGGTGAACATACCATACCAACATGATGGTGGGCGTATCATTGTCAATATGGATCTTGGGAAGGGTACTAAACGCTTCGTACTCTTGTGATTTCCCCAACAATACCTACTTACTGTTTGTTTTGTTGGGGGTTGGGAGTCTTTAAGTTTATTTATGTCTGGAGTCAGAATCTTGAAGAGAAGATCTACCATGTTGCATATCGGAAGTCACAATCAATGTTACCTATATCGGCTATTGCTGAGATATTTCTCCAAAAAACCCGTCAATAGAGTATCTACTAGTCTATCTGAAGCACTGCATTTTGTTAGAGAATTAGCAAGTCAAAGACAATTTTCTACGACTGGTCTGGTGACTGATATCTAGATGGTCTCCTTAAACGTCCAGGGTACCAATTCTCGAGTTCAAGAGAACAAGAACGATCACGCCACTGATGTGACCACCCCCTTCCTCAGCCTTTCTATAGTTCTACACTAGACCGGATCATTCGATTGCATCGAAAACATACAACAATTTTTAACTTCAATATATTTTAACCTTCTTCAACAGATAGTGGACTAATCCTAACGCTACAGCACTTTCCATAAGACTGTGAAAAGCTGGTAGTTTTTGAAGTTGAGAAAAAATGCCACTAACAGGCAAATTTTCCTTTTTAGCACATTTGCAGTTTAACTGGTGTAATGTTTAATGTGTGCTTTTAAAAATTTTTCGAGTTAATCTAATTTAAGTATTTTTATCTAGTTCGTCTTAATCTTTGCCTATTTGCTTCCTCTCGTATGTTTGTTCCTTGATGATGATTTGTGTCCTTGTCACTTTCGTCTTCTTATTATAGAAGAATTGCAATTAAATTATGAAAAGGATGATAACGAACGGAAATTACAAATAAACTATGTAATTGCCAAGAAAACGCAACTTATCACGTTCACATCGTTAACTCAACACATGAAGTAAAATAACGCAAACTGGTTGCTTGTTTCAACTTGATAAGTTTGATTGACTACTTAAACCGTTCTTCAATCTTAATGTGGAGTTTGCTTGCACGCAAATGCTTGCTTCCAGTGTAAGCGTTCAGTAATTGCATATTTTATGAGTCAATTCTAAGTAGTAGCGTCTTCCACAGCATGTACTCATATGAGAGTTTGCAACTGTATTGAATATTTACTAGACCTTATATGTGTATGCACTCTTCATAAATAAATGGTCCGACAGCGGCGTTATTTTGAAAACACAGATATATCAATCCAATATTATAATCCTCGATCGTTATAATAACAGACATGTCGTCGGCATCAGAATAAAATATCAGGCAGTTATTTAAAATTATATTCTGATGCTCAATTAAATAATCAGACACTCGATCGAGACCCAACAATCTGGGTGGTTTTGTTATAATGAGGAGAGAGCCAATCCGTCATACCAAGTCGGTGGAAAAGCTAAAGAATTGCACATCTTTAAAATACCTCGGTTTTGGATGAAAACGATCAAGTTACCAGAGCGTAGGGAATGCTATTTAAAACGAAGAATTCTTTAGCAAAAAAAATATTTAGTACTAGCAATGTTATGCAAAAGCTTCTTTTTAGGGTAATTTTTCATGCAACAGATTCAATTGGGAAGAATTAGAATGTAGATGATTTGAAAATCACTGACAGCCTTAAAAGAGTTTAGTGCTGATTTGGGTCTTACCTTAAGCTTATCAAATTAATACGACAAAGGGTACTTTTCCAAACACAACAATCCGCCCGATTTTTTACATGAGAAAACTCCCGGAATTCATAGCGTATTGCTTATTCTTCTGAGAAAATTAAGTTATCGAAAAAAGTGGTCGCAAAGAGAAGCAATAAGCAATCAAGACCGTGTTAAGTTCGACAGAAACAAGCACCAGCTCCAGGCATTGAAAAATTTTGTGCAGATTTATTCTAAGCGCAAACATTTCGGCCTCGAGCCCGAAATTCCGTTTCAAGTAATAGTTTGGAGGAAGAGTTTTACAACTTTTTCTTTTCTCATTTCTCACCAGGAAACTTCCCCCAACCCCAAACATTTTAGTATATAATAAAAACTGATAAAATTATTGGGCTTTTAGGTCGTCGTGGGCAGAATTTATTCGCGACGTTTTGCAAGCACGATTCTCTTGCATCTTCAGAGTGGTGCCGCGTCGAGCAAACCTAATAAATAATCTCATCAGTTTCATTAGTTGATGTCTAAAAATGTTGTTAAAAAATTGATTGATTGTAGATTAATTTTTTGACTCGTTTCTTATGGTCTGTTGGTCAAACAAATGCCTGTGGTAGTTTAATTGTTTTCCAAAGCGAAAAACGCTGAATAAAATATGAAACAACCAGTATATGAAGAACCGGCGTTTAAGCTTCTCGATAGGCAAAAAAGCGACACGTGCGGATCAGAATGAAGGCACTTTTTTAGTTAGTTGTTAAAACGTTTATATAGTGTATTAGGAGAAAAACGAAAATTTTTCAAAATGTCGCAGGTATTGTAAAAGGACAATCTGACATTTTACCCCTCGTTGATATGTTTATGTTGGCGAAAGTTTTGCTCTTGCTGAAGTTCGCGGTGTTAAAGCTAACAGGTATATTTATATATAAATCGATAAAATGTTAGATTGGAGTTTTACTGGCTCTAGTTTTCAAAATTCAAACAGGACCTATTGATCAAAATGTAAGTGATTCAAAAAAAAAACAAGAAAGTCTCATGCTAGTAAAAACTAAATGACATCATTAAAAGTTAACAGTTAGAGAATATCAATGTTAGGCACAAAAATATGTACTAAGTAAAAAAAAACGTCATTTACAGATCGAGAAGGTATTTTTATGGAGATTCTGCAGTAGGATGGGTGCAAGTTACAAGTACATTAGCCTTCCTGTTTTTCAGACCTCCCTTTAACTTGAATTTAACATAGCTTCTTCCAGCTAGAATCAATAAACAATATTAAAGTTACATAAAAATATGTGTTAACATTCATATTGCATAACAAAAATAGTAGGTATTTAACGTAAATGCACGGCGAGAAAACGAGAATTTTTCTTCACAGATACTTATTGTTTCTTTTTCTCGTCTTGTATAGCAATTAACTATTTTTGAGGAGATTATTTACTACTAAAATTTAAAGTATTTATTTGTTATACAGTAGGCAAAATCAAATCTGTTTTTATACTTACATTAAAATGACCTTCACATACATGGGGAGCAGTCTTCTCAGAAATATCCTTATATAGCTTTAACCTTTAACCTTATTTATCTCGTGGTACACGAATAAATAGCTTATCTAGCGTTTTAAAAGTTGTACTAGTACACAGTGGCACTATACAGCATTTGTAATATTGGTTTTGTGTTACTTCCATTATTAATAAACCACAGCACGCATTCGAACAGTCAAATGAATAGCCTGCGGTCACAACTTTAATTGTTTATTGCAAATTAAATATTGCCATTTGAGGGCTGACATTTGGTATGCGTGACTTCTATAGATAGGCAAATATATTAAGAAAATCAAAAAAATTTTCAAGTTCCCCATTGGAATGGCCGGCGATTCTAAATGTGTTTAACTACCACTAATAAAGGCAGTTTCATTTTCTGACTTTGGGCGATTGGGTTGGGCAGTATGACCGTTCACTAACCGACCATTTTGAGAGTGGTCGAAGAGTGGTCGAATATTTAAATATTATTTGAACAATAATCTCCATAATTTAACAATAAGGCATGCACCGGCATATGGAGCCACGATTTGGGACTCTGTATTTGAAGTTCAAAAACTGCGCCATCAATAGATCTCAACAAATATCTTCTGATCTGGTGATCTGCTAACGACGTGGGCACTGAATGCAAGAACGATTTAGTGACAACTATCACATAAAATGCGATTCGTAGTATAAAATAACTATCATGTTTTACAAGAGTCTATATTTTGCGTTCGTCGTGCAAGGACGTATTTGGTTCGGCTGCAAAAGAATCTAAAGCGATAAGAATTTTACCACGCCCGGGCGTGTGTGTACGGTGCATTCCTTGACACGGTTGAAGACCAATACAATCAACAGAACATTATTGAAAAAGCAATAATGACGGAACATCTAACACCAACAACGATAGTGGAACAGCAACTAATGCAACAAAACCAACACCTCTTTGCAGAAAATGCTCAGAGATCTACAAACGAACAAGCCATATATAATGCATGGTTCCAGTCTAAAAATGAGAGAAAGAAACTTGAAGTAACTGTAAAACTGCTACAAAGCGAAATATATGCTCTTAAATTGCAAATAACTTAACCTAAGCCAAATATTAGCGACGGCACTGCTGCCATTATATAGGAAACAGATGAAGATGAACTTGCTTACGAACCAGAATGGATACGCGCAAAACCAAGCGCTAAAAGAAAAAAGCACGATACCGCTTCAACATCCAACCCCAAACCACAAAAACCCTCCAGCAATCAAGGTAAGATACCTAAAAACGCACAAACTGGACAAGAAAACGTTAGAAAGCCACCACCAATCATAATAGAAAATGTAACGAACTATCCACAAATGCGTGCTGCATTTACAAGTGCACAAATTCCGACAGAGAGTTATCAAAGCAAAATACTTAACAACAACAAAGCTAAAATTAATGTTACAAACCCAGAGACATATCGAGCAATTACTGCTCTCCTAAACAACAAAGGAGTCCAGTGGCACTCGTACGAACATAAACAAATAAGAGATATTAGAGTGATGATCAAAAACCTACACTACTCGATAGATCCTGTTGATATTGTCAAAGACTTAAATGAAAAAGGACTGAAAGCAAAGAATGCTACAAACAAACAAAAATGGCGCACAGCAGAACAGAAAAAGGAAAGGCAAACCAATCATATTCAAGAAGCAGTACCACTAAACATGTTGATTGTGTCATTTGATAATGAATCAGAAATCGATC